ACAGTAAAATGTTAGTTTTATACAATTTTAAAACAATTATAAATATTTTATACTTAAATTTCTGGTCATATCAAATCATGAGCTAATTATCTTACGGTATAATACTGCAGAATAGCTTAAAACACTAAATAAGAGCCAAGCTAATTAAAATTATGTCTTAAAACTTTTTCATTCTCTAGATCTTAAAAATCATTAATATTAAAAATAGAAAAATNAGATCTTAAAAATCATTAATATTAAAAATAGAAAAATAAAATTTTTTTTTTTCAATTAATTTGCCAAAAATTATGTATTTGAGATTTCAAATAATTCTGTCTTTTGTCAGTTAAAATAATCTTTTTAATTAGCATAATTATACCATATTTTTATACAGCATTTTTTTTTTAATGGTAGAACAAATTTAACATGATATATAACAATATAAAAATTTATATTTACGAAAATATATCAAAATTGCAATCGTTGAAAACGGCAGTTTTTTATTTGTTTAGCAATTTTAAATGTCTATTACTATCTGAAGAGTACATAGATAAATTCGAAATTATAATTGACACGACTTACGTCACAATTATATATTCGACACTGATATAGACGGTATAGAGGCATGGGTCGTTTATTACTGAAGAACAACAAAATATTATTAAAAAAAAGAAATCGAAATGACGAACCCAATTAATAATAATGTTCGTATAAAATCGCGACACTTTCGCTGTTGTCAGAGATGTGGTGTCCAACATGGTCCTCGGACGTCAATAGTAACAGCGTTGATGGCGACGGTGCGGTATCGGTTCATCTTGTCAGGTTGCGCAACACGTCCAGAGCCAGTGGCGTAAATCATCGACGACTTGAAGCAGACTCGACCAATATTTGCAAAGGGTCGTCGTCGGGCGAGCGACACTTGCTGGACTTTGTACTGTAACGTGTGGCAGACTGTGTTGGTCAGTCCAATTACCATGTACACGTAGTAGAGCGATCGCTGACATATGCGACACAGGCGTNAAGCAACACATGCGACACAGGCGTAGGGCTCTGTGTATCTAACGTATCAAATAATTTAAAAAACTAAAAAAACACGCTTTTAAACTATATTTATTTTTTACTTTTTAGTTTCATGTTATGATAGTAGTTACTATCAATATCATGGTTGTTACGGGTAACGGGAAATCAGGGTTCGATTCCGGGGAGGGAGTCTGAAAAACTGCTACCACATCCAAGGAAAGCAGCAGGCGCGCAAATTTCCCACTCCCGGAACATGGAGGTAGTGACGAAAAATGACAATACGGAAAACATCCCTCGAAATCGGAATGAATACTTTATATCTCTTAATTAGAATAAAGTGTGTTAATATATATTTTTAATAGTAATTAGAATATATATATATATACAAATAATGCGACTTAACTACGTAAAAGTATCATGCACTAGGTATAGCTGTGTTTTGTGGGCGGGCGTGTCGAACTAACGTTATACCTGAGGTATAAACGGCAGTAGAAATATATACGTAAGTCATATGGTACGCGGATAGTATTGGTCAGTCAAAAGAAAAATTTGTTTATATATATATAATATTGATGACAAGCACACAGACCGGACAAGACAAACCGATCCGCACCCGCGCACCGTCGCCATCAACGCTGCTAACGTTTTGACGCCCGAGGGCCATGCCGGACACCGAGTCGTAAGTGCCGCGATATTAAGCGAAGATTATTATTACTGTATTTGTCTCTTTGGTTTATTTGTCTTTCTTTAAAGTTAACC